GACTTGCAGATTGTTTCAGTCAACACACATATACTATTTTTGGCAAAAGTTTTTACCCCAGGAACTGTTGTCCAGCTCTGTGCTTGAGCACTGCCTTTGAGTTATCCTCCCATTTGTGACGTTTATGTCATTGTACCATTCTTTCAGCTGTCTTTTGTCTTTTGAATAAGGTCTTTTCAATGTGCCATGCAAATGCCCTCCCTCCCACAAATTCCTTCTCTGGGACGAACTCTGACTTAGTTTTCCAATCTCCACTCTGATGACATCTGGTTCTCTTTCCTAACTAAGTCTAAAGATCCTGCCCTAAAGATGAGTTTTACTTTTACGGCTAGTTTTGAATATATTCAGGAAGCTATAAGAACTTTTTCATTCTTCTCTAAACTTATTTTTGAAGTTCATTCACCTCTACTGCCAATCTGTTTTTAAAGCAATATTCACCTGAAAGGCAATATCACTTGGAGAAAAAAAATAGGTGTTAGACTTGTTGGAGAATTCATTCAAGTGATTGAACTGCATTGTCAAAAAACAATGATTCTAAGAAGGCCTGTATACCACAGCAGGTGTTTCAATCAACAAGTTCTAATGCAAGTGCCTCAGAACTGTGTGTCAATTAAATTGCTCAGCAGATTTAAAATTAAATATATGTGACACTAGCTATATTTATACTCTCCTTTTGGATCTACACTGTGTTTACAAGGATTTTATGCCATGGACTAATGAAGGGTTGGCAATTTCAGCAATTATAAAGCCTTTTAGTGTCAGTCATTAAGTAAAGGATGCCATTTGATGATTGATTTATGCTTGCATAAAATAAGCTAAGGAAATACGAAAGTGTCACTTGCTGCTTTTTTGGAGAAAAAAAAAGTAGGCCTGACTCTAAACATATATCTTTGATTTGATTGGTGTGAGTGCGGGAGGGGAAGTGGGAAGGGGAGGGGAGGGATCCTGGAAGAAACAACAATATATAGAATGAGACAGAGGGAAGTTGTGGAACTCACTGAAGTCCATGCAGATATTGTCATTAACTTCACCACAACCAGGATTTCACTCAAAAGTTAATCTTAATTTTATTTCTACAAAATTGAAATGCATTTCTTAAGGTTGCACCAAAATTTCCATATTAAAACCTCATCCAGCATAAACTGTTATTCTATCTATGCCACATGACTAAGAGAGAACTACTTGTTTTTCTGGAGATTGTTTCTGAATTCTGTGGCCAGGTGCCAACATTACACTTTTGCCCATATAAGTGATCGGAAACTGCTTTATACCCATAACAGAACAGAAGTTCAGTATATATAGATGTCGCTGGTAGGTGTAATAGGGTTTTGGCCCCTTCTTGGCTGGTACCTTCCTCCCCAGAGACGTCAGGGTGAGATCCAAATTCGGCACCACCAATGTGGTTTGGGTGCTGCTCCTACTCACCTGCCACGTCTTTGATGATTTTATTTTTCTTTTTGGGAGGCAGTTCCCTGTAGGTGGCCTGAGGGGATCTCAGCCCTGGGTTTCTTCATGGGGCTCCAACCTTCCCTTTACCCCACCCTTACCACATCCATGGCCAGGGTGGACTCTGCTCTTACTCTTAGATGATCCGGTCTTATCCACTCTGCCTGCCTCCAAGGGCTGGATCTTTCTGCCCATCGGTCTTCCCAAGGCTGTCCTTCATCTACGGACTGGAGCCTGGGCAACTAAACACACAGCCATCCAGGGTTAACTGTAACTTAGGAGAAATTGAACGTAAAGGGTAAGCGTCCACTAACAGGCTTATGGGATCTTGTCTCCCAGGGCCTTTGGTCTTCCTGAGGACTCTGCTGTCCCTCTTTGCCTCGAGTGTCTGGGAGGGGCAGCCAACCTGTGCCAGGCCTCTGTTGGCCCTCTCAGGGAAACCTCCCTCAGGCTCATGTCCCTTCCACTTTCAGGCCTGTCTGAGCTGCGGCTGGGCTGTCTGGGTCCCACCAGCTGGTGTTGGCTGTCCCCCCATGCACAGGGCTCCATGATCCTCTGCGCCTCCCTTACTGCTGTGCTGCCTGGGGGTGTCAGTGGTCCCTCTGGGCTGTTCCCTGCCGCAGTACTTGGGTCTTCTGTTGGAGCCTCATCTCCCCTTTCTGGTGTCCTGGGGGGGCTGCTTTTCTCTGGTGGAGCTCCCCGGCATCCCTCTGCTCCCGGGGCTTGAATTCCCCAGCTTGCCTGCCAGCATTTCCTGGCAGGTGCTCAGCTTCCTGCCCCCATCCTCAGGGCTTGCACTCTCCAGGTCTTCAGCCGGCATCTCCCTGCCAGCATTCAACCCTCTTTCTCCCTGCCAGTGTTCAGCTGAGTCCCCAGCTGCTTTTTGAGCAGCCCGCACCTCTCTGAGGCCACGCCACATGCACCCGCTGATTTGCAGGCTCAGGCAGCTCCAGAACTGCTGAGCCTGTTCTCCCTGTCCCAGAACCTCTCTCCAGCTGCTGCTTTTTGTCATCCCTGCAGTAAGTATTGGGACATCAGGAGACACATCAGGAGGGGTCTGGGGTATTGGGGTCTGGGGTATTGGGGCACGTCAGGAGGGGTCTGGGTCAAGTCAGGGGGACTTTTGCCTCCCCTCTCACAATAGACTAATGAAAAAATGGTAGAACCTGGTCTAAGGTTTCCCCCTACCACCAAGGGGCAAATGTGTGTTCTGTTTGCTGTTTGGTGTCAGTGCCAGAGCCACCTGAGGATCCACACCCAAGACTTGTAAGTTACAAGGAAGGGGAATTGGATTGTTTTGAGCAACTAGGGCTTATGTGGATCTAGCCCCACTTTTGCACCAAAGCCAAGTGTGGTGAGGTGGGAGGGAGGGCGTTAATTTTGTAAGCAGCAAATATGTCCACTGCTTGCAGTTGCACAGTGTTTCGCTTAAATGGGGGTGAACATGCTGTGGCCTCTTTTAAAGTTGCTTGGTGGGATAGAAGCATTCATTTGTTTAACAGCAGGAATTTGTGCTGCTGAGATATGTACAATGAACTCCTTAGTGGACTGGGGAGACATTTGGGTTCCTGCATAATCATCCAGAGATACTGCTTGGTGATTGCCAAGAGTTCATCCACTACAGGTAATGGGGATGAGCTCTTTGACCATGAACACCATTTTTTACCACATTCCTGTTACCAGCTACCACATCCACTGGAAGGCAGGGACATACACCTGAAACATGGACACCAGCACAGACCAGAAATGGGTGAATATGTGAACTCCACCTAAGGCACCAATGATCAAGAGAAAACATGATAGAGGTTTTGGTGGAGGCCTCAGAATCATGAGTACTGTCCATGGACAAATGTCAGGGTGAACTCTGAGGTGTGTATAGAAAGGTTGAAAAGCAAGAGACAGCAGCTCACTGGGACATCATGGCCAGCACAAGGGAATTCTTTGACATGGTCAGACAGTGCCATCAGGATATCATGGAGTGCTGGCGAATGGGGGACACGTTTAGAGAGCAGCTTCTTAGATACGTGACCCCAGCTGCCATTTGTGAGCTGCCCCTTGCTGGGAACACCAATGAGACATCCACTGTGCGTATCCATGAGCAGACCCTCATAGAGACCCCTATCTGCGATCATCCCCCCCCATATCAACAACCTCAATTACACAATGTGCCTGTAATTGTAATTGAGCAACAACCTCAATTATGACAGTGTGCCTGTGAGCAAAGGGGTGCTCCTACTCTAGCAGGTCAAGGAGAGCACCACTATAATTTAGGGACAAAGGGGAGGGTGAGACAGAGCGGGGCACTGGGGGAAAAGAAGAGCTATGATGGGTGATGGGCTTTTAGTTGTTAATGCTGTTGCTTCTGTAGGAAACTGGGGAGTGGGCATTGTGTTCCTGCATTATTTCAGTTCTGCTTTGGTTACTGACAATAAAATAAATGCTTTGGTGAAATTAGAATTAATTTTCATCCATGTCTGTTGTCTACAGAAGTGGAAGTGGTTGTACGGGCGTGGGTTACTTGGGGGCTGGGGGGGGATGGAGTTGAGACAAACCAAAGAAAATAAGGCTTGTTTCAGATACATTGCACTCATGAAAAAGGACATGCCCACCTCTGGACTGAGGGGGGCAGGGGTTTGCCCACAATATAGGTACCGCAGGGTATGGAGGTGAGCTATAATCAGGGCTGCTGCACAGAGCCCATAACATTTTCTCTGAGCACATGCAGCTTCTCAGTGCTACCTCTGACCACCCAAGAGGGAGAGCTTGGGAAGGTGGGGCTTTCAAGGCCTGGGCTTTTATTATTGTGATCAGAGAAAGACACAGTGGTCAAACCAAGCCTGGGTGGTGGTGGGCTGGCCCAGAATTTATTCATGTGGGAAGCAGTAATTGGGTAGGTGCTGCACAGTACACATAATATTTTCTCTGAGTGCATGCAGCTTCTCAAGGATCAAGCGTTCAGCTGGTGATTGGCAGTGGAAGAGAACAAAGCAAGTTCAAAACCAGACAGGCAGGAAGGCTTGACTAACTGCTAAGTGCCACTGGAGATCTTCAAAAGGAGACTGGTCGCACATCTTGCTGGGGTTATTTGACCCCAGCAGTCCTTCCTGTCCAGAGCAGGGGACTCAACCCGATGATCTCAAGAGGTCCCTTCCAGCCCTAAACTTCTGTGAATCTGTGAAAGACAGGTGTGCCCATCAGCAGCTCATTCAAGCCCCTCACCCTATAAACCGGCAACCCCCCTTTCCCAACCTTTCTACACTTCCCCTCTTATACACAGGGAACATGAATTGAGGAATCAAACAAAGCAAATAGAAATCTTTACTTACAAACCAAATATTAACCATAATTAAACAAACCACAGAATAGCTTTTATAAGATAATCATGCCCAATTACTACAACAGAGGAATTTCTTTTTACTACTGTAACAACGCATGATTCATGAAAAAAACTTAATCTAAACAGTAATCATTTCTAACTAAAAGACTTTGGCTCTAAGGTGGACTTTCCAAGCTTGACTGCAAACTAGTGAGTGGCAGAGCACAAACTGTACCAGTCTGTCCTGCTCCTGGGCAGGAATGGAGCTGATGACCAGCAGGTATAGTATCATTGCAAGGAATCCAGACATTGTTTGCTGGTCCTCCCGGGTCTGAGAATGCCTCCTGGACTTGGGATGATTTTTGTCGCACTGGACGGCCATGAATCTGCCCACAGACAGATCTGTCTCACCATCTCATGCAGCCAGTGATCGCCATCCCTGAGGGTGCTCACAATCTGTCCATGCATGCATCAGCAGCAGCCTGCCTCAGCAGCCTCTGTGTCCTCGGCAGTAGCATTGCAAGCAGAACTGAAAATCAAGAAGTTCAAGAAATAGAGTGAATTAAGGATGCTTGGTGCTCTACAAAGACTCATTCAGTTAGTCTTGTGAGTGGATAAGAAGTGGTCAGCCCAAAATGACTGAGAAGGGGTGCCTGGGCACAGGTGGTAGCAGGCACTGAGTGGCTGCAAACAAGTGCCCACCCACTTGGCCACCAATGTGCCTTCCTGATGTGTGTTGCTCTGCACTGACCACTAACTCTTGGGGTCTTTAAAGCACTGCCCTATGCCATCCCATCCTGAGCCCTTCACCTCACAGCCAAGCCTAATTGCAGCTGTCAGTTCAGGTGACAGGTGACTTAAAGAGTCCTCCTCAAGGCTTCACATATCAGGTGTGGAGGTCATGCTCCATGATCTATTCTCATTGGAGGAAGCAGCAGGTGACATGACTGGGACCCTGCTGCTATCTTTTCCATTGGAGCCCCTGCAAGTCACAGTGGTGGTTGGCCATATCTCGGCAGGTGAGGATGCCCCAGAGGCTTCTATCCCTGTGTGATCACAGCAATTTAGTACCACCTTTAGTGGCTGGAAGTATCTGTAATGGGCCATGTCATGCAGTGGAGTGCCTTGCTACTCTGCTCTGGCAAAATCCCTGAGGAGAGCAGCCCGCAACATCTTTGCCTTGACATGCACTGGACCACCATCCATCCCGTTGTGCCCCTGCTCGCCCATTCTGGAAATGTCAAGGTAGATGTGCCAATTGGCCCACAGACTGCAGACAAACGGGTGCATGACCTCAGAGTCCCCCAGCAACTGCACCAGGATCTTTGTTTCAATGAAGGTCCAATTGCACCTAGACCTATGCGACTCATTCCATTCCCCCTGAACATCAGACATCTCGGATTAATAAGGGGTACCCTAAGGAGCTGTGTTCTAAATGTCTGTTTTAAGGTGTCAGGGCCAAGGGAAGTTCACCCCTCTCCCACTCTGTTTTTGCTGGGCAAAGTTTGGACATCAGACATGCTGGTGTCAGGCAGGGTCAAGGCACAGAGGGGGCTCTGCACCAGTGGCAACCTTGTATCTTATGGGCATAATTATTCTGGATGTCCTTTAGTCTTGCTAGGTCTTTTAGCCCTGGCACAGCACCAGGCTACCCAATGAGCCATGTACTGAGAGTTAGGCCCTTGATGAGTGCTTACAGGCTCCTTGTTAGGGCATGGCACAACAGCAGGCTACCCAGCTGAGCAGTTCAGACATAGCTGGTGAGGGAATGAATGCTGACACAACTCACCCGCTATTCATAAAGCTGGTGTGCTTAACGCTCATGCTGGGTCACAGAACTCCACTTGTCAGCTTTACATAAAACCTACAAGTGAATTAATGGCATTAGGGGGGACAATTATGTCACAGCCAGCAAAAAAAGGGATGTTTTAGAGGTGCAGGGTGGATGGGAGCCGGGCAAAGTCTGGGGATTTTTGCTGGGCACGCAAGAGCTATGCTCTGTTTTGGCTCCAGTTAGCGCCCCCCCCCCCACTTCGTGTCCTAAAGCATTCATTACATGCAAATACCTGCAAATTGTAGTGACACTTGGTGAACAAGGGGGCTCACTATACAAAAATTGTAACGACACCCAATGGACAATTCAGTGAATTACCACATACACATGACAGATTAATGGCTGCACCATTCCAAATTGCATCATCACAAACTAAACTACATTGGTATGGGGATTAGTTTATGATGACACAAACTCATTTAAATTGCCAAACACTCTTGTATATGTAAAGTGTGCGGCCATTAAGCCACACAGAAATGGCAGTTTTCGTCAGGTGTATAAGCGCCCATAGTTATCAAAGTTTAACGAAGAAATAAGAGCAGTTGTTAGAGGGAGAATAGCTAGGATGTTTAACATCAATGAAATAAAGAGTTATAAACAAATATAAATCCTCTGGGTAAAGCATAAAGAGTTTTAAAAGTCAGGACTGAGCTGTAGAAAGCGAGTTTCGTTTATTCACAAAGCATGAATTTCGAAAGCTGCTGACAGCTGTGATCTCCTTTAAAGGTTCTGTTCTGTAATGTATATTAAGCAAGTGACATCTTCTCTGAATATGTAGTTTCCTAAATATAAACAGCAAAAGATATAACGATGCATAACATGAAACTTTTTGGATAAGGATTAGAATTTAGATCTTCTCCCTAGATTAGTGCTGTAATACTAACACTGTCCTGGGGAGGACCGAGTTAGAGAGCTTCTGGAGGGGCTGGACATGTTCAAATCAGCAGGTCCAGATGCTGTCCACCCCAGAGTGTTGAGGGAGCTAGCAGGGGTTATTGCAGGGCCTTTGGCACGACTTTACGAGTGCTCATGGTGCTCAGGCCAGGTGCTAGATGATTGGAAAACAGCCAACGTGGTCCCCATCTTTAAAAAAGGGAGGAGGGAGGACCCGGGCAACTATAGGCCCATCAGTCTTACCTCAATCCTAGGGAAACTCTTTGAGAAGATCATCAAGGAGCACATCTGCGATGGGCTGGCTTCAGGGATGATGCTCAAGGGCAACCAGCACGGTTTCATTAGGGGCAGGTCATGTCAGACCAACCTGATTGTCTTTTATGATCAGGTCACAAAAGCATTGGATGCAGGTGTCACCATGGATGT